AATCTGTTGTTTATTTTTTTAATTTGGAGATTTTCTGTCTGAAAATAAAATGATAGAGCATTGCATTAAAAGGTAACACATTTAAAATGTCTAAAAGGAAATACTTTTTTGTGCATGATATAATTAACCTGTGAAACTCACTGGCTCTGGATTTTTTTTAATATAAAAAGCTTAGGGCGACTTGGAAAATTAGACATTTATATGTATAACATCTATAATGGCCTTTGGACTGTTGACCCTCATGGTAAGGAGAATAAGCAGATCACTAACTGAAGTTGGAAAGATGCTTCCTCCCGTGCTATGTAGTGCTAAGCAGTACATATACATTGAACAGCTGGTTCAGCATGGCAGGCTGCAAAACATTACCCAGAAACAGATAGCAGTAAGGTAATCTGATACTGCAGGAGATGGGATAGCAGATAAAAGCTTATGTGGCAATTCCTGTGTTCCCTAATGTTGACAACGCCTTCTCTTTACAGTGTATTGTTGGTAGCCACTGGAACATGGGTTCCCAATGTGGTAAACTTCCCTGGCTCAGAATATGTGGAAGGCTATGAATCTGTGTCCATCAATCCAAAGGACTTCGCTGGCCAATCTGTGTTGATCTTGGGCCGGGGCAACTCGGCCTTTGAGACAGCAGACAACATTCTGGGCGTCACCAATTTCATACACATGGTGAGCCGTTCCCGTGTTCGCCTCTCTTGGGCTACCCACTATGTTGGAGATTTAAGGTATGTGGTTGCTCTCTTCCCTAGTTTTAATGGGAATTGTATGTTAACCAAGTGAAATTGCTGTTGGCTGATTGGTGTAGCAGACTCATGACTTGGAGGATTAGGAAAGGGCTATAGGCCTTTCACCATTAGGCTGCTGTTTTAACAAATCCATGTTTGCAGTTACTGAAAGTTGTCCATTTGATGGCTTTTCAGAGACTTCGGTGAAATGAATTGGTAGGGGAGTCACCAACAGTTCCTAATGGAAACAGTCATAAAAATGATCATCATTACAATCACTAATCGGCCCTTTGTTTGCTTTATCATGAGGGAGGCCCAGGATTGACTGGCCCATGGAGGCTAGTCCCTTAGTTAGAGCATTAGCTCAGGAGACCCAGGTTCAATTCTTTGTTTTGCCACAGATGCCTTCTGTGACCTTGAACAAATTATTTAATCTCTCTGCCTCACTTCTCCACCTGTAAAATGGGGATAATAGCAGTGCCTACTTCATGAGGGTGTTGGGAAGATTAACATGTTAATGACCATGAAACACTCTGACACTGTGAATGGGGGCTATGGACTGAATGGAGACTGAGCTTTCCTTTTATTGCCTCAAATGTACACCTCACAGCAGCATGAAGGAAGCTTGCCCTGCCACTGTCCACGCTGTCCCTGCTTGGGTGGTACATAAAGGATTCCTGTCTCTAGCATTGTCACTCTGGCATGCCACCAGCACCAAATTCCGACAGCCACAACAGACATTGATTGTGGAACAGCTATAGTGTGCTTCGGGACAAGAATAGTTGAATGTGTAATAAACTTGTCGGCTGTGTCTAGACTGGCCACTTGAATTTCCGGAAAAGCACTGACGATCTCATGTAAGATCGTCAGTGATTTTCCGGAAATACTATGCTGCTCCCATTCGGGCAAAAGACTTTTTCCGAAAGACTTTTGCGCAAAAGGGCCAGTGTAGACAGCACAGTACTATTTTCCGCAAAAAAGCCCCGATTGCGAAAATGGCAATCGAGGCTTTTTTGCGGAAAAGCGCGTCTAGATTGGCCACGGATGCTTTTCCGGGAAAAGTGCTTTTCCAGAAAAGCATCCTGCCAATCTAGACGCGCTTTTCCGAAAATGCTTTTAATGGAAAACTTTTCCGTTAAAAGCATTTCTGGAAAATCATATCAGTGTAGACGTAGCTGTCATGTTTTCAGTAGCAGATTTCGAACCCCAGATCCCTCCTTTTTCTTATATTTTTCCCTGTTCCTCAGAGCCATTAACAATGGTCTCCTAGATACATACCAGCTGAAGTCTTTGGATGGGCTTTTGGAGGGTGACTTGGAAGATATGGCTATTGTGAAGGATAAGAAAGGGAAGCTGCACATCACTCTCAAGTTCTATCTGGAGAACAGCAACAGCAGTGCAGATGCAGAATCCATCACTCTCCCACAAGATGAGCTGGACAATTTTGCCCCTCGGGCACCTTATGACCGTGTCATCCGCTGCCTGGGCTGGAAGTTTGACTTCTCAATATACAACAGGTAAGGGTAAACCAGGGCCTGGAGGGGGCAGGAACAGACACAGAGGAAATATATATGTGGATGTGTGAATTTGCATGTATCACTGCCCTCTAATAGATGGGAGGTCAGACCTAAGCAAGTGGAGTTGTTTGAATTTGCAGACCTGCTTCCTTGGTTCCCTGGGGAGAGGCTTATGTCTCAGGAGCTGAAGACCTTGAGTCCCTGATGTCCCATATGCATTGTCAGCTGGTGACTGCATAAGAGGTGTACAGATACAGATGTATATAGCAATGTTCTGTTCTTCATCCTTCAACACACATTCTCTTCCTCTGCTTTATCTCATAATAAAGTCTGGACGTGATATCAGTAATTCTTCTTAAATGGGTGATTACTGTGTCAAGTGGCTCAGGCCCAAATGTGACCATCCCAAATCATCTTGAAATGGATTAAGGACAGTGCTTTTTTTTGTGATGGCGCTGCCCAGTACACAGTACTGCACCTCCAGACACAGTACCGGCACCTCCAGTCAGAGCTCAACAACTTTTTCCCCTGGAGTATCAGCACCTTTCTCCCCCTCCCACCCCCCCCAAAAAAAGAACTGATTATGTATGTTAAGGACCAGTCAACTATCTGGTAAGCAAA